TACTAATGCATGAAAATCCTAACCTCAAAAAAATCACCCGTTAATAGGCGGCATACACGGTGCGTCTGACTCGCGAGTCATTTGTGTACGTGTTGACTCGCTTCGACTATACACATTTGAATCATTCAGAGTCATGCCGGGAGTCATGTTGGTGTAACTAACACATATTTATTTTCACAAACACATCCAAACCGACTCACGAGTCAGACGCACGGTGTATGCCGGCTATAAGAAATCCGACTAGAAAGCTTGACATTTTTACGAATGTTTGTTGATTTTTTTTTTTGAAATTGCACAAAGTTTGAAACTTGAATTAAAGAGTAAACTATATATTTAAAAAAAAAAAAAAAAAAAATTGTTAAAGCGTGTCAATATGTGGTGGATTTATAATTTTGACACGGGGTGTATTTGTGCAAGGTATCTAAATATGGTAAATCAATTAAAAATGTTATAAACTAAAATATAGGCATTTTGTATCTATTCTCTTCTTCTTATTTGGCAGCGTAACCGCCTAAGCGATTTTGGCCGAGTTCAGCTAAGCACGCCAGTCGTTTATCTTCTGTGCCTACTGACGCCAATTGGAAAGCTAAGTCCAAGCTTATCCACCTGATATTTCCATCGCAGTCGGGGCCTCCATCTTCTATTAAGTTTTTCTTTAAAAAATGGGCAAGATAGAAATTCAGAAAAATAAATGCTCGATGCGCGACCTCTTACAATTATCGTAGAGAGGCGAGGATCATTAATATACCAAATACTAAGATTTCAGTCGGGGTCCGCGGTCGCATTGCAGGATTTTTTATTAACGTGGTATAATGTACATACCAACATAAATATATGTATGTATTTATTTGTGAAGTGACGTCAAATTTTGTGTTTTCTCAAATGGAAATGATTTCCATGCACTATATAAATTCGCCACATTTCCAACCGCAAGAATTCACGCCTGCTCGAATTTCAATAGTTGATTCCATTTCAGTTACATTTTTAGACTCGTTAAACACCGCGAATACACAGATTTTTGAATGTGAACGTAGTATGTATGTATGTAAGCAAGCTTCCCTGCAGAAAAAAATTATCAATTGATAAAAAATAAGCCACTTGTAGTTAGAATTTTTGCGGGATTTCTATAAAATATATAACCTGTAGTTATCTACAAAAAGCTGACTTGAAACTAGTTGACAAGTAATGCAGAAGTAATGAAGGAGATCGTTTTCTTTAAACGCGTTTCTATTTAAATATCTTGCACTTCGCAAATACCTTTTCGAATTGAGGACAAATAAAAGGAACATCGAAGTTTCATATTATCATTTTGAAGTTATGTCTGACGGAGTTGAAATATGGGACCACCTACAGCAGAATATGTAAACAAATATGAAATGTAATAAAATAAATAAAGTAAATAAAAATAAAAAATAAATAAAAAAAATATTTTGTTTTTCCTATTGATATTTTATGTCCAAAAGAAGTTAGTTACAGGTTAGTTGCATCAAATCCAGAGGTAAACCACCCTTGAATATTTCGCGGCCATCGCCATAGAAATATAGTTAGCTTTTGTCAAAGAAAATATACAGATAATAAGTGACTTTTAGCTCCTTCCTAATCAACATAAAGTTAGCTTATAGTTAGACACATTTCCTGCAGCGTTATCATGCATATTTGAATGTATGTACATAGCTGTGTATAAATGTTTATGTTTGTGTGCGTACATTTATGTCAGTAGTGTCCACTCTCTCTCACCTGTATTATAGTACTGTTGTTTCCACTTTCCTTTACCCACATAACGTTGCCCTCTGCTGTGCAGGGTATGGAGATATTTTTTCCTTTATCCGTCACGTAATCGTGATATTTTATGGATGACGTTAAAACCGTAAGCACTGTAATCGATAAAATATAAAAGAAATAAAATCAATTAATTTATTCATATTCCTAAATTTTGTATAAGGAAATTCTTCCGGCTATTTGTTTTCAGTCAATAATAACATTAAAACTCTTGTTTCACTGCTAGTAACTAATTTCATGTAGAAGTAAATATGCCTTATGCGCCCAAGGCAAGAAAATATGTAGTACGCTTCCATTCGTTTTAGACATTCGGCCCAGTGCCTGCACCTGCAGAGTTAAAAGCAGCTTAAATTAGGAGGATATGAAGGGAAATGTTGCAATAAGCACAGCGACAGCCAGTGGCATCAAATGCTTTTATGGGTAAATAAAGCCAATTAGACGGGAAATGCACAAATTACGTACCTAAATATATACATATGTATGTACATTACATACATTCACTTGTACTCGCCCTTTCATTGACGAGTGGTTTGGCAAATTCTCAGAAAATATGCGAGTGTTCCAGTTTCATATTATTATAAGGCATTGAATATTTGTCACTGAAAGTAAATCTTCGCACGAATGCAGTTTGAGTTTGCAAAAAAAAAACATTTTTTATTGAAACAGTTTTTCAATCAAATAAAGGAATTCCTGGTACTATGTTTACCCTTTTTACACCCCGCGACAAAATGAAACGGTCTAACGAAAGCCTAGATTTATGGTCTAACTTTGTACAAAAATTACAACGACAATTTTCTAGCGTTAATAATTAACGAGCTCCGATTTCGCTCTAATTCATATTGTAAAAAGAAGAAATCTGATATATCGGGAGAAAATTGGACAACTGCCACGACCTCTACGCCAGTGGGCGGAAAATTTAAAAGAGCTTTGGCTTGAAATAATTAATATGTAACGGGTGATTTTTTTGAGGTTTGGATTTTCATGCATTAGTATTTGAC